GGTCAATTTCACCCGGAAGCGTTCATGCTCTCTGCCTACTTGTCCCCTTGCTAGGCAGTGCATTCCCTCCCTTTCACAACAGTTCTTGAACACTATCCTCGTCATGTCCCTTGGGATCCCAAACAGCAGCAGCTCCAACTTGTCTCCCTTCCACAGTTTCTGCTTCCATCCTCCAAGCTTCTTCACCATCCTCATGATCTCTACGGCAACTGGACCGTGGCCACTTGTTTTTCGTGTTTTTTCAGGAAGGTATACGGAATACTCGGCCTTCCCAATCCGAGTGTCCGGCGGGGGTTGTGGTTCCTTTCAGTTCTTTTGCCGGCTCACCGACGCTTAATAGCGCCTCCAACATAGGCTCGTAGTCTAGATCCAAGTTCACACCTCCTGGCACAAGTACCCCAGTCGGCTTATGGGCGCTCTGCTTAGTTAACACCCAGACGTCCCCCGACCACCCAATTTATCATCTCCGAAGTCCCGCGGTACAGGTTACTTTCCTCCTGGGAGGTCATTTTCACCACAATAAGTTCAGGGACGACTTGCATAGCCGAAGATTCTACTCACACGCCGGGATGGAGCGTACACCAACGTCCAGCTTCTCATGTGCGCTCCACCATGGGTTGCTATCCCACTTACGCTCCGAGTAGACCGATCTGCCGAAAGTTCGGCCAACCATTCCTTGCTGCTCTATATTCGCCTCTCTCCAATCGAAAACAACGCATTGTGCGTGCCACACATCTAGCTCCGCAGCTTTTGCGTGGTTGGTCTGGTCGTTCAGCTTGCTCGACGTGAGTAATAGGTTTGCTTTGATGGCTCTATGTTTTATTGATCCACTTCAAGCATCGACCCCCCCCCCCCGTCCACCGTCCGATCCATTTTGGATCTCACGCCGGAGAGTTTTGGGGTGTCTTAGCTCTACGTCCTCCACCGCCTATGTGTCCGGCAGTCGCAAATGTCACTCAACCCGTTAGGTCTCAATATGCAGCTATCCTCACTCAACGCGTCTATGTGTCCAGCACTATCCAACATCACTCAACGCGTGAGTTTTCAGTATGTAGCTATCCCCACTCAGCGCGTCTATGTGTCTGGCAAACTCAAAAACCAATCCATCTGTGAGGTTTCAATATGCAGCTCTCCTCACTCAACACGTCTAGGTGTCCGGCAATCTCCAATACAAATCACCTGTGCGGTTTCAGTATGTGTCTTTCCTCACTCAAAGCGTCTAGACCTTTGTGTCCGGCACTATCCAACATCACTCAACTCGTGAGGTTTCAGTATGTAGCTACCCCCACGCAGCGCGTCTATGTGTCTGGCAAACTCAAAAACAATTCAGCTGTGACGTTTCAGTATGCAGCTATCCCCACTCAGAGCGTCTATGTGTCTGGCAATCTCCAATGCAAATCACCTGAGAGGTTACAGTTTGTATGTGTCTTTCCTCACTCAAAGAGTCTATGTGTCCGGCACTATCCAACATCACTCACTCGTAAGGTTTCAGTATGTATGTAGCTATCCCCACTTAGCGCGTCTATGTGTCTGGCAAACTCAAACCAATTCATCTGTGAGGTTTCAGTATGCAGCTATCCTCACTCAACGCGTCNTTTCTAGTCTATGTGTCTGGCAAACTTAAAAACCAATGCATCTGTGAGGTTTCAGTATGCAGCTATCCTCACTCAACACGTCTATGTGTCCGGCAATCTCCATCACAATGTCGAGGAAAACTGTTACAAANCGCTCTCAATCAGATGCTACGCTCTCAATCAGGCGAATATGTTGTTTCTAGTCTATGTGTCTGGCAAACTTAAAAACCAATGCATCTGTGAGGTTTCAGTATGCAGCTATCCTCACTCAACACGTCTA